CCTTCTCTCTAGTGACACCAACACCGTGGTGGGCTTGCCCAGGCCCATCCACGAGAGCATCCGAACCCTGAAGCTGGTGAGTGCGTTGATGAATTCCTCCAGTCCCTGCCATTGTGTGGGTGCCCCTTCCCCATCCCCTGCACTGATCCCAGGTCAGGGCCGGTGGTGCGGACCCCCTCTACCCCCTGCTCAGCCCTGTGACAGGAAAGGCCTCCAGTTTTCATCCTGTCCCTGGTCTCTCAGGCTGGCTGAGCCCCTTTCCTCACTGGCTTCATCCCTGTCTTACTGGGGTTGTCCCAGAGGTGAAGCCACCCACCAGCACCCTGCCCCTGTCAGCATCGGTCACCACTGGGACAGGAGTAACAGGGAGGGACTGGAAGAGATGATGGGAGCAGGCTGGGGCTGGTGGCATCGATGGTGGGGGCCGTGGTGTGAACCCCGGCGCTCTCCCTGTGCAGCACAAGTACACGTCCATCGCGGAGGTGCAAGTGCACATGGAGGACGAGTACCTGCGCTCGCCGCTCTCCGGGGTGAGTGTGGGGACGAGGATGTGCCGAAGCTCCCGAGCTGGGGGCCCTTGGTCCCGCCAGGCCTTTTGGCAGGGCTGGGTGGTTCGCTTCGCTGGGGAGGGAGGAGGAATTTTTCTGGGGCAGAGTGGGGGGTGTGCGGGGAGGCTTCGGGCAGGAGCTGGCAATATCCTACCCTTGGGGTCGGAGAGCCTGGGGCTGAGCCAGACCCGCAGCACTGGTGGCAGCTCCTGGTGTGAGGTTTTCTGGTCTCCTTTGGCACAAGGGGGAAGAAGAAGTGGAGCAAGTCCCTGCGGAGATCCTGTACCAGGGCCTCCTGCCAAGCCTTCCGCAGTACATGGTGAGCTGGGGAGCACTGGGGGACCGCTGGGCTCTGCTCCGTCCTCCTAGAGCTAATCTGGGGGAGCCTTGCCCTGGGGCCTCCCTCCACTGCTCCGTCCCTTTCCAGTGATGCCCCCCGGGTTTTCTTCCCGCATACACATCCCTGTGACTCCCTGCTGCGGTGGGCAGGGCGGCCTGTGGCCACTCCCCCTGTTCCCTTCCGCTTTTCCATCTCTCCTTTCTCCCCAGATCGCTCTGCTGAAGATCCTCCTTGCTGCAGCCCCCACCTCCAAAGCCAAGACGGACTCCATCAACATCCTGGCAGACGTCTTGCCGGAGGAGATGCCGTGAGTGACCGCGGAGGGCGAGCAGAGGCGCCGGGTGACGATGGGAGCGGGGCAGGCTGGCGTGGTTTGGGTGGGGGCTGTGCTGAGCCCTCCTGGGTGACCTGGCCGTCTTCTGCTCCGTGGTGTGCCAGGAGCTGTGCGTTGCTGCAGGAGCTGGGGGGTGGGAGGACACTGCGGGGGCTGGCAGGGTGCGGACAGTGCCCCAGCCCGAGGATCCCTCTGTGTCCTGCAGGACCACAGTGCTGCAGAGCATGAAGCTGGGGGTGGACGTCAATCGGCACAAGGAGATCATCGTCAAAGCCATTTCTGCTGTGCTGCTGCTCCTGCTCAAGCACTTCAAGCTCAATCACATCTACCAGGTGAGGCGGGCCAGGGTCCGGCTGCCCTGCACGGGGCTTTGGGGGTGGGCAGGACCCGGGATGGGTCCCCATTCACCCACCTTTCTCCCCAGTTTGAGTACATGGCCCAGCATCTGGTCTTTGCCAACTGCATCCCGCTCATCCTGAAGTTCTTCAACCAGAACATCATGTCCTACATCACTGCCAAGAACAGGTAGTGGAGGGGGGTGTCTGCTCGCATCCCTGCCGGGTCTAGGGAGGGGGTCCCTGCTTGCTTTGCCCCTCCGTGGTCCCTCCCTGGCCATGGCTCTGGCGCAGGCAGACCCAGGGAAGCGCCTGCTGCAGCTGATGGATGGGTGAGAGGTGTGGGGCTGCATCGCCCCAGGGCCGGGTGGGATCTGGGGAGCAGCACGACACCCCCTCTGCTTCTCCTGCAGCATTTCTGTCCTGGACTACCCGTACTGCGTGGTGCACGAGCTGCCGGAGCTGACGGCAGAGAGCCTGGTGAGTTGCTCCCTTCTCTGCCCGGTGCTGGCTCCCCGGGGCGCTCCCCAAAGGGTTTTGTGGGTGCAAGGAGGCAGCAGGGCTCCGGCACCCATCCCTGGCACCCTCAGCACTTGGATGGGAGCTTGGATGGGTGGCTGTCGGATGTCTCCTGCCTGCGTGCTGTGCCGTGCCCCTTTGGGCAAGGGTCCCTGGAGCAGAAGAGCCTCTCCTCATCCCCGCTCTGATCCCTTGCCTGACCCCTGCCTCTGCTTGCCCGCAGGAAGCTGGAGACAACAACCAGTTCTGCTGGAGGAACCTCTTCTCCTGCATAAACCTCCTGCGCATCCTGAACAAGCTGACCAAGTGGAAGCACTCCCGCACCATGGTGAGGGCCGGGCAGCGCGCTGGGGCTCAGCCCAGCCGGACTGGGTGGTCACAGGGTGCCTGGACTGGGCAAACGGGCTGTGGATACCTTGGGGTGCCCCTCGCATGGCACCCCAGACCTTGCTGGGGAGTGGGAGGCCAGAGAGGATGGGTGGGAGGGGACAGGGAGGGTGCGTGCTGCAGGGAAGGGTTTGTGTGCGCTGGAGGTACCCACGTACCCATCCCAGCTGTGTCACCCCGCTGCCCCCTGTCCCTGCAGATGCTGGTGGTCTTCAAGTCGGCACCCATCCTGAAGCGGGCGCTGAAGGTGAAGCAGGCCATGATGCAGCTCTACGTGCTGAAGCTGCTCAAGGTGCAGACCAAGTACCTGGGCCGGCAGTGGAGGAAGAGCAACATGAAGACCATGTCAGCCATCTACCAGAAAGTGCGGCACCGTCTCAACGACGACTGGGCTTACGGCAACGGTACGTCCCTCGCAGCGGCCGCAGAGCGTCCTGTTACCCGCTGTCCTTCCTGCTCTGCGCAGTGACGTCTCTGTGCCCAGAGCTGTCCCTTCACTGCTTAGGGCTTCTGCAGCCCCTAGGTCTGGGGCGCAGGGAGGGATTTGGGGTGGTGGCATCGCGGGCAAGAGGGAAAGCGCTGGCAGTTTGGAGCTGTTGGTGGCTGCCTGCTCCGTGTTACAGAATCCCAGAGTCCCAGCATGGCAGGGGTTGGCAGGGCCCTCTGTGGGTCCCCCAGCCCA